CGCTACAGCGCAACGCGGCCGCTCCCCGGGATTTCTCTCGACTCATCCCAGAACCAGTCGTCGTAGTTGTCCAGGTGAATGAGCAGCCCGCTCGGGCCCTAGTCGACTCAGGATCCCTGTCAGACTTCATGTCTGCAAGGTTAGCACATCAGTTAGGTCTGGAGGTTTTTGAGCTCACCAAACCTTTGCCTGTGCAGCTGGCCGTCCAAGGGTCCCGCGCAAAGATTAACTTTGGCTGCCGAGTTCGACTGGAATACCAGCGCATCAGGACTGAGAGGTATTTTGATGTCATAAACTTACTGAATTACGACCTCATTCTCGGAACTCCATTCATCTTCCAGCACAAGGTCACGTTGGGACTCAACCCCACCACCCTAGTGGTCGGCAGTCCGCAGGCTCTGCCAATCGAGGGCCGCCAGGTGCGGACGCTACAGTCGCACGCGGCGGACGTGCTGGACGACGTGCTCGAGGCGGCACGAAAGGAGTTGCGTGAGTACGCGGCTCCCATTTGCAAGGAAGCTAGTGACTCACCACTACCTCCTTTGCGGACCATCAACCATCGTATCCCCCTCATAGACCCGGATAAGGTCTATACCTGGCGGCCGTCTAAGTGTCCGGACGCTCACAGAGAGAATTGGCGGGAGAAGCGAGATGCTTACCTCAAATCGGGGTGATGGAAGTACACTAGTGCCCGTAACACGTCCCCAATGGTACTCCTTACCAAGCCTGGTACGGGAGTGAAAGGAATCCCTCCGAAACTGCAAGTAGTGTGCGATCTCCGCGAACGTAATGCCAACACAAAAAAACTGACATCACCGCTTCCGGACATGGAAGGTATTCTGCGACGCGTATCCAGGCATCAGTATAGGAGCCTGATAGACGGTAAAGACGCGTACGAACAGATTCGGGTGGAACCCGAACATGTGGAACGTACAGCGATGACTACACCTGATGGAAACATGGTCAGCCTTGTTTTGCAGCAGGGAGACTGCAACGCTGTCGCAACGTACCAGAGCTTGATGAACTACATCTTCGGCCCATACATTGGGGTGTTTCTTGACGTCTATCTAGATGACATTGTGATCTACTCGGATACCCTATCAGACCACGTCAAACACGTCAAAATCGTCGTAGACATATTGAAGCGTGAGCAACTGTTTCTGAGTGCTACTAAATTGAAATTTCTGTGCAATGAAATGAAGATCCTAGGGCGCATCGTGGACGACCGAGGCATTAGGATGGATCCTGACAAGGTGGACAGTGTGCTTAACTGGAAGGTACCTACCTCGAAGGAGCTCTTACGCGGATTTCTAGGGTCCGTAGGGTATTTGGCAGACGATATTGCCACGGTGAGAATTCCTATGGGAGTATTAGCCTCTATGACTGGCGCGAATGCTTCGTTCAAATGGGACTTCACTCACCAGCGAGCTTTCGATGAGATTAAGCGGCTGGTTCACGCGCACCGAGAACACCGCCGCAAGCCGTTGGACTACTCAGCGGGGGCTCCACCCATTTGGCTGGTAACAGACGGCTCGCATGGCGGAATTGCAGGTGTGGTATGCCAAGGAGAGGACTTTCGGAACGCGCGGGTAGCCGCGTTCTTCTCTGCTAAGCTGTCATCAGCTCAACAGAACTATCCCGTGCACGAGATTGAGATGCTCGCCGGGGTTGAATCAATGCTGCGACACAGAGATATTTTGCTTGGGTGTCGATTTACCTGGGTAACAGATCACAAGGGGCTAGTACACTTGCTGAACCAACGGAACCTGTCCGGACGGCAAGCCCGATGGCTAGAGAAAATCTCTGAATACGATTTCAAGATCGAGTACGTACCAGGCGTTGACAACGTATTAGCAGACGCCCTATCTAGAATATACTCTAATGACCAACCTGGCACGGTGCGAGCGCCGTCAGAATACACCCAACATGATGACGCCGCAAACGCACCTCGGGCGCTCTCCGCCAACGCTGTCTCCGTACCCCTCCTTGTTGACCTTGAGGGACGGGCTGCTACTGAGCTAACCAAAACTGCTCCTCGACGTTCGGAGAGGCTGCAAGCCGCCGCCGGAGGACTCAAGCACGCTGTTACAAGCAGCGTTGGGTCGAGGCTGGAGGGCGCGTCGCGTGCAAGCCGAGCGCCTCGACGGCCACGTGATCGCGTTCAGGCTTCGAGCTCGTCGACCGACGCGGTGTCGACAGTCAGAAAGACGGTCTGGGAGACAAGCAAGACGGTGAATGCGAGACGAAACAGCATCGCACGGTCGGAACATTCTGCTGGCAACCAGCAGAAGACGCCTGCGCTGCCGAAAAGGCAACGCTCACGCCAACAACGGCGGGAGACGCTGTCAACGCCAGCGCCTGAGACCGGGCGTCCCGAAACCTCCAAAGAATTTGCCGCTCGCATCAAGCGTGTCGTTCTCCACCCACCTCGCGCAGAACGACAGGAGGGCGCGGGTGCCCAGCTAACTTCTCCCAGCACACCCAGCACCGAAACGGCCACCAAAACCGCTGAACAGGCGGACGGCACTCCACCATCTTCGACACTGCAGGACAGCAGTACTTCGGCTCAGCCCGCCGAGCATGTAGAACGTTCGGGAGCTCAGCTCCTGGACCACATCGCCGGTTCTCAAGACGGCATTCACCTGGAGGGCGTGTTACACAACAGATACGCTGAAGACGCGTTTTTTGCGCCAATTATTCAGAACCCGCATCAGTACAAGAATTTTCACGTTTCTAACGGTCTGGTCTTCCTTAGGGAACGGGGACGCGAGCTTCTGTGCATCCCTCGTGTCATAGTCAACGGACGTAGCGCTAGGGAAATTGTAATCTCTCATGCTCACTCGCTGTTGGCGCATCTAGGACCTAGGAAGACGGCCGATCTCCTCCGCGACCACGTCTGGTGGAAGACTTTGCTTCCCGACGTACAATCCTACTGCGACTCGTGCAAGACGTGTAAACGCAGCAAGCCGGCCAATCAGAAGCCGTACGGCCTGCTTAA